CCGCCGTGCCCATGAGGTTGACATCAAGTCACGCGGGCGTCAATCTGTTGGCTGACGAGGGACAGGCCAGGAAGCAAACTAACTTCTCAACGATTACGACGGCCGCTGAGGGGACGTACGCCACGCGAGTCCATTAGCAGTCAGTTTCGGAAAAATCAACACAAATCCGCGGCGAACAGGCAGGTCAAAGTTCATGCTTCGATCACGGATATAATACTAGGCAGGCGTCAAGACTGTAGTAGTCACGGCGAGTAGGAAGAACCAATATATTACCCCGATGATGGAACCGAACTTTTTCCGAAACGTCAGTCTAACTACACTTTAGCCTACGAACTCGTCCCTTCCTCTTTTTCTTCTTTTGGGCGTAAAGAAAACGGTAGTATATGCGAGTGCATTGTCTCGTATTGTGTTCTCTAGTGCCCATCGGGTCACGTGCACTAAAAGTACGTTTCGCGGAGGGGAAACTGATGAAATCCCCATGAAGCGGAGGCATAATAGATGTCCGTCGTTTCCAATAGCAACATTAATTACCCATCTCTTACCTAGTGTATTAACGACGCAGCCTACCGCGTGTATCGTGGGGGTGAGCGAATTTCTGGAGAGGGATAGCCAATAAGATGCTAGATCGGATGAAATAAAGCCAGTATAGTCACTACTGAGGTTTAGGAGTACTGGGTCATCTAATCTGATCCATCAAGGTTAATTCATACTGCTATTAAAGTACTCGATCAGTTCTAGGTCTGTTGACATGCTGTGGATGGCAGGGTGTTCCTTCATTAGAACATGAGCGGGCTCATTAATTTCGTGTAGGAAGAAGCCATTGTGTTTAGGTTGACAATCCTATTTAAAGTTAAATAAACACTAGTTTTGCTAGAAAAGGTTACAGTGAAACAGAAATACTTTCTTCAGTCACGTTTTAATAAAAAAGGGAAGTCCCTGGGTCAGTGCCTGCTAGCAACAGCAGAAGTGACCGCTATCAGGCTGATGAAGCCCGCGTTGTGTGCACAAAAGAACTTCCTACAAGCTCAACAGGTGGCCTGGCCCACAGTCACTTAGCGACATGCAGCCATCCACGCTCGATTTGTCTCCCTCCCCCCGTTCCCCCCCCCACCCTCCTCCCTCACCTAGACTGCTCTATCAAACCCTATCCTCACAACCAGCCTTCGCCCGAAAAGACGAACAAGTTTGAACTTGCACCCATTTTCCACATAAATGTAAGGCCTGACGAGAATTTATCGGAAATATACGGACACTCGCCGAACTAGTCTTCAGAAAAAGGGGAACAATTAAAAATACGGGAACTAAATCTCCCAGCCAAATGACAATCGTGTTTAAGCAAATACTTAATAATTTACGGCATACTACTTAAGTCTTGGTTTTTGGTTGTTCGCCTAGAATTTCGGTCAGCAGATCTGTCAAAATGGGACCAAAATCAGGACGAAATATTTGCTTACTGAAGTAAACACACTGGTGACACATTTGCTACCACGGTAATGTTCAGCTGTCTAATCTTGTGAATATTCCTCCTCCCCCGTCCCTACAGGTGGTGGCTGTAATTTCGGTGACCTTCATTCTCCTCTCTACGGTGGGTCTCGCGCTGAACTCCATCACGGCGACCACTCACGAGAGTCACCTCTACGAGCATAACAACTCCACCCAATCCAACAAAACACACTGGCAACTCGTGCAGTCCAATCTGGCCAACCAACGTCATCTGGACAATCTGGAGTTGGTCTGCATAGCCTGGTTCACCATTGAGTACGTGGTGCGGTTTGCAGTGGCACCCTACAAATGCGCCTTCCTGAAGAGCCCCATGAACACCATCGACGTGATCGCCATCCTGCCCTACTATATTTCCAAGGCGCTGGACTCTCTGACCGCTATTAGCAAGGTTGTACAGGTGTTTCGACTGTTACGAGTCCTACGGGTGCTCAAATTGGCGCGTCACTCAATCGGCCTGCAGGCGTTGGGCTACACGGTGCGACGTTCCTACAAGGAACTCGGTCTGCTCATGATGCTGGTCGCCATGGGCGTGCTCATCTTCTCCAGCCTGGCCTATTTCGCCGAGAAGGACGAGAAGGACACCGGTTTTAAGAGCATTCCCGCCACCTTCTGGTGGGCCATCATTACCATGACCACTGTGGGCTATGGGGATATGAGCCCACGCACCACGATGGGTAAGATTATCGGCTCGGG